GATTCTCTTGCGTATCCTTTTCTTTTTGGGGTGGGGTGGGGGCACAGGTGAGGCCAGTAGGCATCACTGCATAACTGAGTTGCAGAATGATGAAAGGAGGAGAAGAATTTCACTCTGTCCGTGCCCTTCGCCATTTTAATTTGCCCCGCATCGCTTAACCTACATTTCCCCCACCCTCTAAACCAAGACGCCTCAAACAATTTTAGCCTTTGGTGGTGGTGGGAGTTTTTGTCATGCGCCCTTTACCTTCAAGGGTTAATCCAGGAAACAGGTTGGCCTGTTATTGACAGTGTGGTGTAGAGCAGGGGTAGGCAACCTAAGGTTCGTGGGCCGGATGCGGCCCAATCGCCTTCTCAATCCGCCCCACGGACAGTCTGGGAATCAGCATGCTTTTATTTAAAATGCATCTCTGGGTTATTGTGGGGCATAGGAATTCGTTAATCCCCCCTCCAAAAAAAATAGTCTGGCCCACCACATGGTCTGAGGATGGTGGACTGGCCCAGGGCTGAAAAAGGTTGCTGACCCCTGATGTAGAGAGATTCCTTGGATTGCTGTTTTCTCTGTGGCACCTAGAGCCACAAATAATTCAAGTGCACAAAAACTTCCCCACTAATATGTACCAGAAGCTGCATTTCCCAGGAAACATGAGCATGCTTTGAGCTCCCGTGCCTCTTTTTTTCTTAGAAGACCTGAAGATTGACCCTTCTGTCAACCGGCACTTAATTCCTGAAGCAGGCTGTGTCTGCGTTGTGTTTTCAATATTGTCCAGGACTGGTGTCTTGCTCCTAAAACTCAGGATATGAAAGCTTGGCTGTCTGTTTGACTTCCATCTGCTTTGCTGTTTCCAGTAATCAGTCTTCTGTACTTTCCTGCCTTCGTAATTCAACTGAGAATATTCTTTATGAGGCTGGTTTTTAGGTTTTGTGGCGGTGGTGACGACTGCCGTTACCGAACTAAGAAAGATGGCAAGGGATAACTAAGGTAATTCATAACGACACCTGGCCATTTGTGTTTTGTTTTAGAGCCAGCCAAGGGTTTCACATACTTTTCTCAGATTTCAGCTACCCTGTAATGTAGGCTAGAATAACTATTGTGTGGAAGCAGAGAGATTGCGGCCAACCGGAGTGTGTTTGTGTGTGTCCCCCTACACCCTCGCTGGGGTGGCCCGTCTTGTTTCACCGCCTGAAGCAAAAGGGGAAGGTGTTGCCAGGTGTGTCACCCCCTCCTGCCACAGCCTCGCTTAATGGTGTCTTGGGAAGGTCCAGCAGAGCTCTCATGAGATTTCGCAGGGCTTGTCCTATGTCCCTCCAGAACCCAGAAGCTGCTGCAGCTGCTTCTCTTTGCTCTTCCACCAGTGCTGGGGGCACACATGTGGTGATGCCCCTTGGAGTCTACCGCCCGAGGCGGCTGCCTCAGTCTGCCTCATGGATGGGCTGGCCCCGCTCCGCTGGTGACTTTGGCACCAGAGGCAAAGCCCAGCTGCCTTTCAGTGCTTTGATCCAGGCCTCAGTTCTGAGGTAACTGTTCAAGCCGTGGTTTCCAACGTGGGGCACCCCCCCCCCACAGGGCGGCAATTTGATTTTTAAGGGGGGGCAATTCGAGAATGAGTTATTAACGGTGAATTTTTTGCAACTGTCCTTTCGTTCTTTTGCTTTTCTCTTTCATGAATGCCATGTTCTTTGGAAGTTTGTTTAGACCAAGTTAATGAATGGCCTTTTAGGCTTCCTCCATGTGAGTAGGAGTTCATTTCACGTATAATAAAAATTATATGTCATGGGGTGGGCATCTTTTGGTGCGTGCCTTTCCCCTTTACTGTACAGTGGTACCTCGGGTTACATACCGTTCAGGTTACATACGCTTCAGGTTACAGACTCCAGAAATATTACCTTGGGTTAAGAACTTTGCTTCAGGTTGAGAACAGAAATCGTGCGGCGGCAGTGGGAGGCCCCATTAGCTAAAGTGGTGCTTCAGATTAAGAACAGTTTCAGGTTAAGAACAGGCCTCCAGAACGAATTAAGTTCTTAACCCGAGGTACCACTGTATTTCGGAATTTTCCTCTCTATAACTGGAATTGCCTATAAAAAAAGCTCAACAACCTTCGCCTGAACCTCCCAAAAAGGGGTAGATCACTGCCAGTTTTTTATTCTGTGAGTAGATTGCAGTCTCTTGGGAGTTGGCTGTCCCTGAGCTAGATAGACAGTGAGGTAGAATTGAGACTTTGACTAAGGGAGGCTGGGTTCAGCTTCTGGCTTAACCGTGAAGCTCACTGTGTGGCCACCAGCCAGCGGCTCACTGAGCCTTGCACTTGGCTACACACCAGACATTTACGGCACACCCCCCCCAAAGAATCCTGGGAACTGTAGTTTACTCCCCCCCAAGAGCTGCAGTTCTCAGTGCTCTTAAGAGATTGCAGTTGCCACGATTCTTGGAGATGGAGGAAATGTGCCTTAAATGGTGTGTAGGCAGCCGCTGTTTCACAAGGTGGTTGTGAGGCCACCTAGGCTGCCACCGATTTCCTCAGAGAAAGAGCAGATAATAAATACAAAGGAAAGAGAAAGAGAAAGACAGAGGTTAGATGGAGAAGGACGTCTTGACAGCTTTCTAATGCCTGAGAGGACGCCAGGAAGAAGAGGGAGAGCTATTTCTTGTATTGCCCTCTGGCAGGCAGCAGTGGCCTTGAAAAAGAGTACCCCACTTCAGGCCTGCCAGATGTTGGACTACAAGTCCCATAATCTCCCGCCATCTTTTCTTTTCTTTTTAATTGGTGTGTGCCACTTTTGGATAGTTGTCTGAAAAGTGGGATGAAAATACAGTAAATAAACATTTTTTAAAAAATTAAAAAAGCTAGATACGCTTCCCACTTATTATAAATGGTGTCCTCTTCTGTGGTGGCCCCTAAACTACAAGAAAGAAGATTCCACCTAAACATTAGGAAGAACTTCCTGACAGTAAGAGCTGTTCGACAGTGGAATTTGCTGCCAAGGAGTGTGGTGGAGTCTCCTTCTTTGGAGGTCTTTAAGCAGAGGCTTGACAACCATATGTCAGGAGTGCTCTGATGGTGTTTCCTGCTTGGCAGGGGGTTGGACTCGATGGCCCTTGTGGTCTCTTCCAGCTCTATGATTCTATGATTCTATGAAACTGTGGCACTCCTTCCCCACAGAAATTGCCCCTGGCACCTTCATTATGCAGTTTCTGAAGGATGCTGAAGAGGCCGCTCTTTACCCTGGCTTTTGACACACGAGATGTATATTTTCAGGACCCAACTTATTTTTTGTGATTGTAAATTGTTTTAAACTCTCTCTCTCTGTCTGTCTGTCTGTCTATCTGTCTGTGTGTGGTAACCTGCCCTGGGACCTTAGGAGGAAAGGTGGGTAATTAATAAACAAACAAATAAAAAACCACCCTCCTTCCATACTGGCCATGCTGATAGGAGCTGCAGTCCAATAACATCTCAAGGACACCATTTTGCAAGAGTGGGAAGTCCACCTAGATTATAGGAGCTGAGCTTTATGACATTCCAAAGCAATAAATGGTGAATGGGATTTACATGAGGAGGAGTCTGGCCTTCCTTTTGTTTTTAAGAGAAAATGCTGATGGTGGAACAGAAAAAGAGTCTTCTGTGTACTCCATGTGTTGAGTCTGAGGACGTGCTGGAAGGCCTGAGTGGCACATTCAGGAAAACATGTGCTACAACACAGTTTGGGAACACACCGTTTGAGAATACCAGCAGGGCTTCTGTGTTTGAATGCTCTCCCTCGTGGCAAAACCTTTTGCCCAGTGGAAAGCTGGCATTGATAGCAAAAAGGCACCGCTCTTTTCTATGAACAAAGTGTTGGGTTGTTGTTGTTTTTAATGTGGAGGAGCATAAAAGTATATTTCACCCAAACTCTGAATTGGTGCATTCCCTAGAAGACGAGAACTGTGTGTTGTTGCCTGATGGATTGATCAGTTGGTCTCTGGGATCCAGCATAGGGTTGGTCACATTTTAGAATACAGTATTCTTCTCAATTTATAAGCAGATCTGTGGTGTAGTCAGGAATTCAGGCACACACTAAGCACCACCAGTCCTGGGCTGTCCCACAACATGCCGTTGAGGTTGCTGGTGGCTATTTTGGAATCAGGGACTCTTGTGCCTCAAGGCAAATTGTAGCTGTGACATTGGGGATGTTTGTGCATAGATGCGGCTACCTCACCCCCTTGCAGTGAAACAGATAGATATTTACTGCCAGTTCTCCTCTATCAATTGGTTCTGTCACACAGGGTGGCCTTTGGCCATCATTTGGCAACTGGTGTGCCTCACTGTATAGATGGATCCCATTTTATTGCCAACTTTCCCTGTTGCAAACTGAGCAAAAAACAGTCCATAAGAAAAAGAATAGGGGCTGCGAACATAGTATTGAGATAGGAATCTCAAGTGGGTTCTGCTTTCCCTCCCTGGGAAGCAAATCATTGCTAAGGCTGGTGCGTTAATTTGGCACGCAGAGAGGAATTTGGGTCTTAGCAGTGAGAAAACTTTCCCACCTTTGCTGTGCCCCAGTTTTCAGAAGCTGGTGTCTATGTGGATAGTGTTGTTAAATGGTTTAGACACTAGGGGGCGCTGGACCCAACTGAGTGGAATCAGGGGATTTCTTGTCATTCCCCGAAGCTGATACTATCTACCCAAGCAGGGGAGAGAAGGTGCTCTCAGGTCCTGCTTGCAGGATTCCCATATGCATCTGGTTTTCCACTATGAGGACAAGATGCAGGAACTGTTGACCTGATCTAGCAATAGGATATTATTATTCTAGTCGCTAGGGAACACTGGACTCAGTTGTACCTGGGTGGGTTTTTCTGTGTGGGTCATGTCATTCTATAGTTTAGTCAGCAGGTGGTGTGGGACTTAGTTTTTATCTGGGTGTAGCCAAGAGTTATATTTTGGGGAGAGAGCAGAATCCTTGACCAGCTCCTTTACTAGTGTATGACCTCTCAGTCTTCTGCAACATGGTGCCAGAAGTCACATTTTTAAATCCACCGAATCCTTATTAGACAAGGAAATTGGGCAGAGCTGCCTGACTTAGAAGCCTCCTGCTTTAAGAATCATGCAGCCCGGCCTAAGTGGAGGAGGAAGATTTGCTTATGCACGTCTTGGGGACCCTCAGAAATGAGAGGAGCGCTGCCATTTTCTCAGCACACTTGGAATTGACCAGAACTGAAGTCAGCAAACATCCATGGAACGCAAGACACACCCCACCCTCCCAACAGAGAACCAGAGAAAAAGTCAAGCCAAGGTAGGGTGTTTGGTTTTTTTTTTCTTTTTTCTAAAATCCATGATTAAAACCTGGTACAAACAGGTGAATATATAGATATATTTCTTTTAGTAGATGTAATATTTTTTTTCCTTTCTCTTGCTCTCTCTCTCTCATTATACAGCAAACATTTGCAAATATAGAATTTCTTTTTCTCTCTGTACAATAGAGCGGTGTCGGTTTTTACAAGGCGACACACAGTACCTTTTCACGAAAGAAATGCACAAATGGGACTTCAGGCGGTTCATAGTCTAAACTGGAAGACTCCATTTGCAAAAGGCCCAAAAAGAATTATCTTTTTAATGTTTATGTTTTTAATAAAAAAAAAACACACCTTCTGCTAACTTTTTCTGATTTACCTTTTTGTGTGTGTGTGTGTGTTTCGTTTTTTACTTTTTGGTTACTGAAAGGAAGAAGAAGACAAAACTGTACACAGAGTCCACAAGAAACCACAGATTCATGAGTCATGCGATGCAGTCGTGGTTACTCCAGTATTCCTTTCATTTTGTGCCTCTCTCTCCCTGTTGTTTTTCACTCAGGTTTTTTTTTAATTCAATTTTTCTGCTTTTTTTTTTATAAAAAGAAAACATTTCTCCCCCACTCCACCATTTTACCTATTAGTTTTTCAACATTGTAGGTGTTTCCCTCCCTTTCTCTTTTCAAATTTGGTGTGGATCTCACGAATGCGAGACAATATTTTAATACCTCTCTCTCTCTCTCTCTCTCTCTGTTACATTATATAGAATAATTATAGATAAGTTATTTATTTTTGTGTGTGTATGTGTGTGTTTAAAGACAAGTCTGGATTAAAAATAGCTGCTGCTGATTTCGTTTGTTTTGTTTTGGTCCAGTATTAAGTCACGAGTTACAGGTTTTGAGGACTCAGGACTTGTGCTGGGCAGACACCCCTTTCCAGTAGTCTAAGATGTCGTGCAGGTCCTCGTCTTTGGCAAACTGGACCTTTTTGCGTAGGGCGTGGCCAGCCGCCATGTACTCCTCCTCGTCTTTGTGCCGCTTGCGGTTCAGTTTGAAGCGCTCCCAGATGCTGTGGGAAGGCTTGCACGTGTACTCTGGGCTAGAGGTGTAGCTCAGGTTGTGGTACTGGGGGGAGAGCTGAGAGTAAGCCAAGTCCCTGGGCCGGGGCCTGGTCAAAGGTTCCAAGATGGAAGGCTTGCGCACGCCCATACTCTCGTGCTGCTGCTCCCCCTGGTGGGACCCTGGGTACGAGTGCCGGTGCTCGCTGTACTGGCGGATCTTCTCGGCCTCGGCCCGCAAGATGGCGGCCGCCGGCGTCACAGTGAGGATGGTGTCTGTGGTTGGAGACGTCTTCTCAATATATTTGGCTTCGGATTTGTGGGCGGAGCCCTCGGAGCGGAAGGATCGGGGGCTCCGGATGGAGCCGCTGGAAGAGGTGCTGGAGCGCTTTGGGGGGCCCTCCATGCTGTGGTGCCTCTGAAGAGGGTGGTTGTAGCTCTCCTTGTAGACCGGAGCCAGGAAGCTGTGTTTGCTGGGGATCTGTTCGGACAGGAGCACCAGCTGAGGCTCGGCCGTGGACACCGCCCCCGACTTCACCCCCTGGAAGGAGGTGGACTCCGATTTCAAGGCATCGATGCAGTTGTTGATGATCTGGTTGACCTTGTCCACCTCCTTCGTGATGGTGGAGATCTCCGCCACCGAGCTCTGGCTGTCGGGCTGCAGGGGCAGCTCGCAGTCCCTCCTCTCAGGCTGCTCGCCCGTCCGCACCTCCATGTAGTTGCCCTTCGTGGCCTTGGGGGTCTCGCTCTTGTCGATCAGCTTGTACTGCTCGACTTCCCCCACGGAAGGGAGGTAGGGGATGCGGGTCATCGTCTCGCCGCCCAGCATCTGCCCTTGGGACAGCTGGGAGATGCTGGTCGCCTCCATCTCTGGCCCATACTTCAGCTCGATGATGGTCTTCTTCATGTTGATGGCAGCCTTCTTGTGCTTCTCCTCCTGCTGGCGCCTCTTCCGGAGGCAGTAGTACACCACCCCAAGGACAATCACCATCCCAAACAGGCAGCCCAGGATCGTCATGATGTAGTGAGTGGCCGTCGAAGGGCTCGGCACAGGCTCCTCCCGGTTATGCTTGTTGAGGTTGATGGTGAGGCAGGTGTAGTTGTACCTGGAGACGCGGTTGGAGGACATCACGCAGTAGGTGTAGTCTTCGTTGGGGCCCAGGTCCGTCAGCGTGATGTCCTCCTTCTTTTTCAGCAGCTTGGTGAGGACGTTGTAGCGGCCGTTCTCGAACTGCGCCAGGGTGTACATCTTGCTGAAGGGCACCGGGATCTGCACGCTCAGGATGGCCGAGTTGTGGGTCAGCTGCTTCACTTTCATGGTGGGGAAGAGGCCCGGGTCGATCACGGGGGTGTGCAGCGAGGCCTGGGGCGTGGTGCCGTCCCCAGAGAAGCACTCCTCCTCGGGGCACGGGCTCTCGGGCGGAGCGGTGGTCACCGGGTTCTTCAGCGGGATCAAGTAAGGCGGCATGGTGTAGGGGCCCCCGGTGCAGAGGGAGGACAGCATGCCCAGGGCATTGCGGTACCCGCTCCGGCCTTGGCCCAGAAGGTAGTAGCCAGAGTAGTCTGGCGGCGAGTCACACTGCATGCGGTCGTAGGTGCGGGTCATGTTGGTGAAGCCCTCGAGCCACTGGAGGAAGCCCAAGAGCTCGCAGGAGCAGTAGAAGGGGTTGCTGTAGAGTTCGCAGACAGACAGCTTGGCTAGGCCCCGGAAGGTGCTGCTGTCCAGCCTCTGGATTCTGTTCATCGACAGGTCAATGTTCACGATGTTGAGGCACTCCCCGAAGGCGTTGGGGGTGACGGTCTCGATGAGGTTGGCCTGGAGGTAGAGGTACTCCAGCTTCCCCAGGCCCCGCAGGATCCCCTCCGTCAGGTTCCTCAGGCGGTTGTAGCCCAGCTGCAGCACTTGCAAGTTGTACTGCCCGGAGAAGGCACCGTCCTCGACGTAGGAGATCTCGTTCTTGGTCAGGTTGAGGTATGTGAGATTACTGAAGCGGCTGAGGGAGGAGAACTGCACGCTCTTGATCTTGTTGTCGTTCAGCCTCAGGTCCAGGATGGTGCTGTTGATCTGCTGCGGGATGGACTCGTAGGGCGGCTGGTTCTGGCTGCAGATGGCGAGCCACACAAAGCCCTTCTCGCCCTCGATCAGCCAGCAGTCCGCCTGCGCCTTCCCCACGTACAGGAGGGAGACGGCCGCCACGCAGGTGCACAGGGCTGACGTCGCGGCCCACCGGCGGCCTGCCATTTGGGAGGGCTGGGCGGGGACGAGGGGCCTGCAAGGGGAAAGGGGCGACAGTCTGCCTCACAGCACAAGACCCCGCCTTGGGTTAGTGTTCGCCATTCTCTCCTTGCGCTCCATGGTTTCGGACCATGAAGGGAACATCCAGTCGGAGGAGGTGGGAAGGGGAGTCCTCGTCCGGCGCTGATCTTTCCCAGGGTGCCCCCTTGGGCAAAAAGCTCTAGCAAAGGGCTTTCTGGCAAGCTGTCTCTCCTGCCATCCTATTGGGCTTCCTTGGGGGGGGGGCAAGGAGGGACCTGGGCGGAAGAGGGAGGTCCGGCTCAGGCACACACTTCTCTCTCCCTCTCGGCAGGGCGTTTCCCGGTGCTCGTCTTGCCGCCGACTTCTGCTTTGAGGCTCGGCTCCTTCCCCATCACCCTTCCTTGTCGCAACTGCCTCTGGTAATGCTGCTTCTGCTGGGTTACTTGGGTCTCCTGCCGACAAAGAAGCAGAGGGGGGGAAGGCAATTAGTGGGATTTGTCAAAGTGAAATGCAGCCCCTGTAAAACAGCACACTTCCCCTGCCAGGTAGGAATAATATAGGGACACTGGAAACTGCCTTTGTCAAGCAGTCTAGCTTACTGTTGTCAGCACTGGCTGGCAGCAGCTGTGCAGGGTTTTCCTAGCCTCACCTGGAGATTCTGAGCACTGAACCGCAGGGACCTTTTATGTGCAAAGCAGATGCCTTACCACCAGACTATATCCCCTTCTCTGGATTTATTTCAGTTGTTCGAAATTATTTCACAGTGTCCTTTATATATTGGGATGTTGTTGTTTACAACAAGCTGGTGTGAGGCTGAGTGGGGGCTGGTAGCCCTTTGTCCCCAAACACAGTTTTGATCCAGTCCAAGGCCCACATGTCAGCTCTTCTCAATGAGAAGAAAGGGCCCATTGATGTCGATGGGAGTTTTATAGCCCTCTTCCCTTGCCCCATGTAACACTCCCAACCCAGCTCCTATTGGAAACAACAATCACCAAGCCCAAAATTATATCAATCACACCACACCTAGTTTGGCCCTCCATCTCCAGCGTTAATGCAGGAAGTCCCCTTTCTCTGTTGATCTGCACATAATTGGTTATTCACTCCAGACCACCTGTCCTCTAAGGCCAAGAATCACGGGCAAAGCTTTCATTTCGTAGTTCAGTGTAACCCACTAGGATTTCAGCGATCTGAAAGAGCTGTGTTTGTGGGGTTGAGCTGGCTCTCTGTGTTACAGACAGATGTAAAGTTGGCTTTCATCTGCTTCCATTTACCTTCCTACCTAGACATTTGTGCCTCCCCCTCTACCTGCACCCAAGTCCATCACCTGCCTCCCTCTTTGTCAGCTCCTTTTCAGGATCCTCTTTCCCTGTTGCCCAGGTCAGTTTATCAATAAATGAAGGAGCTGCTTGTTACCAAAAGAGAGTAATGACATAGCAGGCCGCGATCCATTACAAATGATAAATGTTTAATCATGCAAAGAGATGGGAGAGGTGGGGGCGCTTTTATTTTTATTATTTGGCTTGCAGGCACCAAATGTTAGAATGAGCCAGAGCTATTCATTATGTGTAAAATAATCAGAGGAGACATCTCTAAGATGGTATAGCAAACATTTATTAATGGTGAAGCCTCCGCTAAATGGCTGGATGTCCATTTCGTATACGTCAGGTGTGGGAAGGAGGCTCTCAGGCCCAGGCTGCTGTCTGGGTTCATTTTCTCTCCCTCTCTCTCTCCCCCCTTCTCTCGCCCTTGTGCATATTCCCAGATCAGCCTCCACACACTTGCATGGCGAACTTGGTTTGAATTGCAGCAGAGTTGGATAATGAGGGGGCCTTTGATTCCAAGCCTCAATTAATTTCCAGTCGCTTAGTTCCTCTTACCGGGGTTGGGTGCTCAGAGAGGGGGGCACGCAGAAGGTAGATTGGGATCGGGATGCACTGTGATCCACAAACTCTCCGTGTTTCGTAGAGTGAGGTAATATAAGACAACCGCAGC